ACATTATTACATTTAAAATTATAATTCCTATTCATACAGAACAGCCTATTGTCAACATAATTATGGAGTGTGATTTATTTTTTATTCAAAATATCTTCAAACTAATGAAATATGAAGTTAGTAGTGAAGAAAATCCATCTATATAACAGTAGACTGACTGCTGGTAAAATAAACRACAGATCTRGACCACACGTGAATTTTGTTTGTATCTGAAAAAAAATCTTGCCACAAATTCTTCTAAATCACTCGTACGCACAACTTAAGAACAAATCTGTTCGTACGAACGGTTTTTGCATGAGGCCCATTGTTTCAGTTAGCTTCAAGGGAACCAACAGATTTATACTCATCTGTACGAGACAGACTYGTGTTTGTCGTATATTAAAACGTGTGATAATTCAACTCCTAATTAGAAATAAATAACGAGAGGATGAAAGAAACTGAAGAGGACTGGTTGTCTCACAGGGTCACTCTAAGTGGAAAGAAGGAATGCCTCTCCACTTTAGTGCTCTTGACCCTTTAGTTTCAGGTTAAGCCTCTACAAAGGCTCCCTGAATGAGGTCCCCTCAACTTGTGGTGCTGCCACTTTGACAGCAGGGTAATTGTGACACTGAACCCTTCTTTTCTTAGACTCTTTGCTAACAATTATAAGGCAAGCTCCATTGTCATCAAACTGCCCTCTTGAGCGTAAAGGCCTGCTGGTCCTTTATGCTCAGTGACAGCTGAATTCATGCATGCATTTCACCTCTGCTAATTTTACCCTCAATCCTGGAGGTGTTTGTCCACATGGTTCTGTGACACCGTGGACTGTGGGTCAACATACTTTGTAGTTACTAGGAAACAAGACAGAGGTGGCTTGCACTGGCGATGGGTGAGGAGAGTTGTTAGCACTGCTAAAGGCTTAGCTCTATTAAGTCAAGGAGATGTTGGAACGTGTTTTGGTTCCTGACTGAAAGACTAAAGGGCTCGACACACGGGCAGCGACAAACTACAGTGATTAACGGCTGTCATCGCAGCCAGGGTGAAACCCGACACACGGGACGCGATAGCGATCGCAGCGTTGCGAATCGCGCTTTTTCTGGTCGCTTGTCTTCATGAAATTTGATTGGTTCTTGACTCTGAAGGCAGGTGTGCATTACGGA